ACCCAGGCACCCCAGCATAGGTTTATTTCTAGAGATTGAGTTTTATGAGTTTTATGATTCTATTTTCTCTCTTTAGTTGTCTTACTAGTTGTAACTCTTTATTTTGTTATTGCTTTAGGGTTTATAGTATGTATCTTTAATTTACCACAGTCTATCTTCTAGTGATATTCTACAACTTCACAAATAGTGCAAGAACCTTACATTAGTATAGCAACTTATCTTTCCTCTTGGCCTATCACTGTTAGGCATTTTACTTTTACGTATTAATACATCATGCTAAATTGATATTATTTATGTTTAAATAGTAAATTGCCTTTTAGAAAGAATTAAATGACAAAAATATTGTGCACATTTACCTATATAGTTACTATTTCCAGTGCTCTTTATTTCTTTGTGTGGATACATCATTTTTCTTCTGCCTGAATGTCCTTTAATCTTCCTTGTAGGGTGGGTCTGGTGGTTATGAATTCTCTTAGCTTTTATATACGTAAAAGGTGTTTTACTTTAAAAAAAAAAAAAAAGAGGGGCGCCTGGGTGGCGCAGTCGGTTAAGCGTCCGACTTCAGCCAGGTCACGATCTCACGGTCCGTGAGTTCGAGCCCCGCGTCAGGCTCTGGGCTGATGGCTCAGAGCCTGGAGCCTGTTTCCGATTCTGTGTCTCCCTCTCTCTCTGCCCCTCCCCCATTCATGCTCTGTCTCTCTCTGTCCCAAAAAATAAATAAACGTTGAAAAAAAAAATTAAAAAAAAAAAAAAAGATATTCACTAGTTAAATAATTCTAGATGACAAGTTTTTTTTCCAGTATTTAAAGATGTTGCTCCACTGCCTTCTCCCTTGCATTCTTTCCAATGAGACATCTGCCATAATCCTTATCTTGGTTGTACTATATATCATGTGTCTTTTCTGCCTCCTTTAAAGGTTTTCTTTCTATCACTGGCTTTGAGAAACTTGATTTTGATTGGTGTAGTTTCTTCATATTTGTTGTGCTTAGGTTTATTCAAGCCTTTTGGATCTGTGGGTTTAGAGGTTTTATCAAACTTGGAAAGTCTTTTGCCATTATTTCTTCAAATACCTTTGCTGTCCCTGTTCTCTGGGCAGATATTAAAATTACATCTGTGTTATACTGCCTGAAGCTTCCCCATAGCTCACTGATGCTCTGTTCATTATTTTTATTATTTTTTCTTTCCACTTTTATTTTGGGTAGTTTTTACTGCTATGTCTTCAAGTTCACTAATTTTTTTTTGCACTATCATATCAGTGCTAGTATCATCCAGTGTTTTTTGCATCTTACACATTTTAATTTTCATCTCTAGAAATTCACTTTGGGTATTTTTAAAAATATCTTTCATGTATTAACTTCTTGACATGTGGATTATAGTTATAATAACAGTTTTATTTTCCCTGTGTGATGACTCTAACATCTAGGCAAGTTCTAGATTGATTTCAAATTATTTATTTTTCTCATTATGGGCAACATTTTCCTGTTATTTCCTATTTTTTTTTTATTCCTAAAATATTCTTTAATTTTGTCCTGGGTTAAATTACTTGAAACCATTTGACCTTTTTGAGTCTGGCTTTTAAGATTTATTAGGTGGGACCAGAACTGTTTAGTGTGGGGCTAATTATTCCCCATTCTCAAGGCAATACCCTCTTGAATACTTCTTCCAATACCCCACAAATTATGCTGTTTAAAACATGCTCAGGAGAACCAAATTACTTCTCGATATTAGCATAAGTTAAACCCATTTTAAAAAGTAAATCAGCTACAACATCCATGTCATGTATCCCAGAGACAGGAATTCTAGATTTTCACAAGTTTGAACAGTCCACATCACTGCTTTCATCTATCTGCTTATAATATGAGACCAGATATCCTCAAACAGAAAAATAAATTTGAGTTTACCTCCACCTTCTGTATGTACAAGCTCAAATAAGGCTCACTGTCCAAGTCCTCTCTCTCTTAGGTCCTCATGTGCGTTACATCCAAAAACCGGACAACAGGCCCTGTTCCATCACTGATTCTGTCAAACGGTTCCCCAAAGAGGATGCCACCGAGGGGAATGCCACAAGCCCACCGCAGAACCCACCCACCAACCTCACTGTGGTCACTGTGGAAGGGTGTCCCTCATTTGTCATCCTTGACTGGGAAAAGCCACTAAATGATACTGTCACTGGTAAGATCATGATGTGAGCACTTGTACTATGGTGGGAAGCTTCAATAATGTGAGTGTGGTACCTCGTCAAACTATGAGGCATATCTCAGGGGTAGCAAGTCCTAGTAGAACTATTGTCAAAAAGTGTCATATGATGGGCAAAGATCATCTGTGTCCCAGTGGTGGGTTTCCTGTTAATTTAACATATCTCTTTAGGTTACGTTCCTTCCATCTTGTCTCAGAACTCTTCCTCACAGTGTAAAAATAGATGTGGTCTTTTCATTATCAAGAAAATTACAGATAACATAGGAGAAGTTGGCAGGGCTGATGATAATTAAAACAGTTTTCATTTCACCAACCCAATTTCTAGGTTGACCTAGAACTGTCAAGCAATTCAATTATTTTAGTATTTTTTTTGTTTGTTTTGTTTTTTGTTTTTTTGGGGTTTTTTAGGTTTCTAATCATGGTTGATTTTCTCCTCATCTCAGAAAAATTTAATTCTATCACTAGCCCAATCCTCCTAAAAATGACTGTGAAAAGTAAGAAATCCTAAGTCAGTCTTTGAATTTATTATATGCGAATTAATTCTTCATATGAACAGTTTAGTCAAACTAAAGAGGAAGGAGAAAAGGTAAGGGGCAGAGTCAGCTAGAGGAATATAGCAAATTGCAGGAGTACACAAGCCCCCCATTGCCCATGCCCTGCTGTGCATGGGACAGGTAGACAGAATTTAGAGGAGCCCACTAAGAAGCTATCAGGATGGGTAGAGGGAAGTATACAGGGGAAAGGAGGAAGTGGGAAATTCAGCCAAAAGTGTTTTCTGTGAATAAAGGAGTAAACAGCAGCTATTTCTCCTCAGACAAAACTGTTTGGTCTGGGGGACTTTCACTATAAGCAGCCTATCTTTGCTTAACTGGATTTTTTTTAAACCATATTTTGTGAATTTCATTTCTCATGCAGACCTTGCCTTTGTTTTGGGAAAGAACCAGCCACTGCTCATGTTTGCTGGGGACTTGTCTAGTCCTGCTTCTTTACTTGGGACTATGCCAGTAGGTGCTACCATCCCAGTATCTAAAAAACAATAAATCTCTAAGCATGGATTATCTACATAGATGAAAAAGTCCAGAACTCCCAATTCATATACTGTGCTAATAAGGAGTTCTCCTGACAGTCTGAGGCTTAGTTATCATAACACCAAATGATCTATAAAATTTCCTTTGCCTTGAAGATGTGGGACATCAAGTTGGAATTGGTTAATATATCTAAAATCTAATCTAATACATCTAATATATATTCACTTTGGTGTGTCAATTTCTGATTTAACTTTTTAAAAGCAAAATGATTTTCCTTTCCAGTTCATCATGAAACCTTTTTAAATTGTATAAACTTGTAATCTACAAAAAATAATGAATAGGGTATACTTTACCCATTTAACCAATTCCTTTTGTAACATTGTTACTAAATGTTAATGGACTGCTTGAGATCTTTCATAAGATATTAGACTTAGAATAACAGCTTTTATAGATAAGGTCCATATCTCTTTAGCTATAAGATTTTCTAAATAGAAATAAGTCCATATTTAATCATTACTCAGTCTGTATTTAAATGTCAGACCATATAGCCTAATAGTCTCTTCTATTTTTTTCACTTTTGTTTATTTTTAGTGTTTTCTCAAATATCATTTTGTTTCAAATGTGATCTTTTATAAACCAGCAGCTCAGATAATACGATTAATTCTCAAATCACTGGAAATGGCTTTACAAGAAAGGATTGAGAAAGATAACAAAAAAGGAGTGAAACATATTCTTTATTTCCTTAGCTGGCTTCTGTCTATCATCTTTTAATCAACAGGCACATATTACCTATAATAAATACACCCAAATTCAGTTGCTTCTACATGTCTTTTCTACACTAAAGTAGAAATAGATACACCTGAGAAATGGGCCATAGCCTGAGTCCTTGGACAATTTAAATTAGTTGTGGGGTGGTGCTTTGTGATATGCCAAGAGCATGCCAACGTAGATTTAAATCCCAGACTAGCTGATTCTCTATATGCAATTTGGGTATGCACTTTACCTCCTTGCTTTAGTTTTCTTATTTGTAACAACAACAACAACAACAACAACAACAACAACAACAACAACTTCCATTGTAATCAGCTTATCATGAGGACAAAAATTAAACAGAATTTGAATGTACAGTGTAAGTTAGAAGCTGTTAAATTAATGTTTGTCAGTAGTAGCAATAGTAGGACTGGTAGAAATAGTGTCACCATTATTATTTTCATGACCAGAATGTGATTTCCCAACCTTTATAATAAATAGTGTTTTTCTATTAAGTAAATCATCTCATAATAGGGCAATAATAATCTCTGAGTGGGAAAAAGACCATTTATTCAGTGTTACTTCTTTATAGGTTCCTTATATCTTTACTGTTAAGGAATTTATAAATAAAACCCCATATTTTAAAGTGAGAAATATGGACACATACTAAGTGGCTGCCTTTACTTTCTGAAATATAATCAGAATGTGTCTATAAATGTTCATTCCAAGCATTAATGTTCCATTTTTATGGTATAGTGAATTTCTGAAAAAGCTACTATTTCTTTAAAGCATTACAAATGAAAGATATATTTACAAGGCCCAAGAATACACATTCAGAAGTTAGAATTCTGAAATTCTAAATATGTTTTTTAATTACAAAGGTAACTTCTGTGTCCATTTTGAAAACTTGAATCTTTCAGGATGAAAATAGTATTAAATGAACATTTAAAACTCAGTCAAAAGAAAATTAGAGAAGATATTCAGTAAGAGTTTCTAGTACTGAGTCTGGGGCAATATTAAAAAGAATATTACACAGTCACTGATTAATGTCCCACACCAAAGATGTTTCTTGAAAGTGGTTGCTTTCATACAAATTCAACGGGAGTGTCATACAAATTTTTCTTTGGGTGACAAAGCGACACTTGAATCTTTCCAACTGAAATCTTTCAAATTTAAACACAACTCAGGGATAATAAGTAATAATAATAGGTACCACCTGTTGAACAAAACATATGCAAAATACTGTTGAGCACTTTCCATATATTCCTAGTTTAATCCCCACAAGCAACACTATGAAGAGCTATTACTGACATTTTACAAACTGAGATCAGGGCAATTGGCTTGGTCTGTCACTTTTCAATGAGTCATGTAGTGTCCTTTCGGGGTTTTTTTCAACTTTTTATCTTTTATTTTTATTTTTTTTAATTTTATAGATTTTAAAAATTTAAATCCAAGTTAGTTAACATACAGTATAATAATGTTTTCAGAAGTAGAATTTATATAACACCCAGTGCTCATCCCAGCAAGTGTCCTCCTTAATGCCCCTTGCCCATTTAGCCCATCCCATTCCCCCCTCCCAACACCCATCCAGCAATCATTGGTTTGTTCTCTGTATTTAAGAGTCTTTTATGGGTTGTCCCCTCTCTGTTTTTATATTATTTTTGCTTCTCTTCCCTTATGTTCGTCTGTTTTGTATCTTAAATTTTACATATGAGTGAAGTCATATGTTATTTGTCTTTCTCTGACTTATTTCATTTAGCGTGATACACTCTAGTTCCATCCACATTGTTGAAAATGGCAAGATTTCATTCTTTCTCATCACCGAGTAATATTCCATTGTGTATGTATACGTGTGTGTGTGTGTGTGTGTGTGTGTGTGTGTGTGTGTGTGTGTCTGTATATGCATCTTTATCCATTCATCAGATGATGGACATTTGGGCTCTTTCCATAATTTGGCTATTGTTGATAGTGCTGCTATAAACATTGGGGCGCATGTGCCCTTCCAAAACAGCACTCCTCTATCCTTTGGACTAGCCTTCCCCATACCTTAACTTTAATAGAAAAGTCATGAGTGTTTTGGGTTCCTCATCAGTAGATATCTAACCATGTATCCAACAAGCAGTTTCCAGTTTTAAAAATCCATTTTAATTACTCCCATCTTTGTCTATCTAGTAAATACTGATTCACAGCTGAGAAACAGATATAAAATGGATATATTTGAATTCAAGGTCCTTCCCTTCCCTCCCTTTCTATCCTCTTTGAGAATAGAATGCCAACAGAAATAGGTTAAGAAACAGAAAGTTCTGAGAAAAGAACACTAAATACTAGCCATTAGTCCTTTGGTAGTTGTGCTAACATATCCAGATACAATGGTCATTGCCTTCTGATTTAATTTTGAATTTTTCGACCACCTTTGGTCTTAGTGCTAATAGCAGAAATCCCCACTAAATTGCCACCCTTTGTGGCTTTTTCCCACTTTCCCTGATGGCTACCACTTGTATATTTCTTCATACTTATGGAGCTGATTTTGAGTAGGGTTTGTTTCTGTTTTCTATTTTTCAAGTTTTGAATCTTCTGTGTGACCTTGTCACATACATTAAACTCCAATTAAGAGGTGGAAAAGCCAATTAACAAATTTATAAATTATGTTCTTGATCTGAAAGCCCTTCTCTTGATTAGCCCTGCAAGTTCATAGAAACGTGTCTTTAGGTGAAATTTATGCAGATCTCCATTCATAATTTAATGATTTTTTTAAAAAACAAGGGTTATTTTCAAGGAGGCATATGTAAGCAGTAGGTAGAAAAATTTCATAATTCTGTAGTTCCCAATAATGAACTGTCACTCATTATTTGGTTAACTGCTATTTGCTGGATGGTATTAAACCCAAAGATATACAGATATAGATGATATAGATATAGATATAGGTATAGATAGATATAGATATATAGATATATTTTTGCAGCAGAACCATGTATGCAGTGGTCTTTTCCCTAGCAATATAATAAAGCCCCACAGAGAAGAAACGTGCCTTCTACTTAAGTACCACTTCTCATACAGCACTTTCCCCACACTGGGTTTTTCAACAATGACAGACTATTTGATTTGCCTAGCAAAATCATTAGTTACCAGTATCCAAAGATACCACAGGTTCATCATCAGTCTTCACAGTTACCAAGCCTTTCATGTTCCAGTAAAGGGAAAGTAGATGTGATCAATGAGTGACTCCCAAAATGCTTTGGGACCTTTGTCATCCATTGGCCATCCCCATCTGCAAATTGCTAATGTATAAGATCAGTACATCTCAGTAACTACAATCTAAATTGCTCACCTTTATAAGAGTGACTTTATGATGCTGTTAGCCTTAAGAGCAATTAAATCAGCCGGGACATAAAGACAAGTATTTGTTGGCTTTTTCACTTTTCAGAATATGAAGTTATATCCAGAGAAAATGGGTCATTCAGCGGGAAGAACAAGTCCATTCAAATTACAAATCAAACCTTCTCCACTGTAGAAAATCTAAAACCAGATACAAGGTAAGCCACCTGTGCTCTTACAGGTGAATTCTGACAGTGCATAAATCATCACCAAAGGAATGAAATGACATCATCCGTCTCTGTCTTAAGGGACAGTGTAGTTTGCATTTCATTCTTTGGCTTTCTGTGCATAGGAGTAGATACCTCTAGAGTCATGTTTTGCAAATACACAAATTATTGGTGGGGATACAAGAGCTGACAAGATGGTCTTGTAAGTTAACACTATAGGTGAGAACATTGAAAAATAGAGGATCATTAATATCAAATGTTGATATTAAATACCAAAATCAAGAGAAGGAAAATTCTGTGGATGAGACACAACTGGAGTGTGTAGGATGTAAACTAAATGTGAAACAGAAGAATTTGGCTGGCATGCTGGAAAGAAGAGGGCAAGGATATAAAAGTTATGTAACAAAAGTAGATGAAAGTTTGTGATAGTTAACGCTTAAAATAACTACAGACCATTCCCAGGCATAGTGGTCTTTTCATTTTGGGTCTTTTTATAATAAACAAATGAGAATCCATTTTTGAAAATAGACACATATATTATTACCGATGCTCTATAATAAACAATTTTTCTTGGCATCCCTTATTACCTATTGGTACCTGGTTGTTTACATTACTGTATGGTTTTGTCATTTCTTTTTAAATCTAAAATATCCAACATTTTATCGGCTCACTGTATTGGAAGAAAAATAAGGGCTTTACGCACTTCTAGAAATGTAATAGGGAAGGTTTTGTTTTGTTTTACATGGCTAAATCATCAAATTTATTGTTCAAGGAAATTCTCAAAAGGATACAGCCAAGCATTTCTTTAAAAAAATATGTACTAAATTCATTTGGGGACTAAATATCACTCTTTGTGGAAAATCAATTTCTTTCCTCAAATTCCAAGACACTATTTGAAAACTATGCTTTCAGTTAAAACAAAAACATCTTCACACTTTACGTTCTAGTGCACCAACCAACACAGATCAATTTTCAGAGAGACACAATCAGGAATTTTTCCAGACTGAACGCTTCATAGCTTGATAAAGTTTCCTGAATATTTCATAGCTTGATAAAGACCAGCAGAGGCAAAGACTGGAACTCCAGCATTAGAAAATTTTTTCATAAGTTTTATTTCTATCTTCCATTGTCATCAGTTGATTGAATTGAATCAGGTATTGATTATGACATTCAAAAGAGCCTAGTAAAGTTCTGACAACAAGGAAACTGATAATCTTTTCAGGAAAAAAAGGAAGCATCTAGTTAATTCTAGATGGTTTGCTGTGTATAAACTGTAGTCCTATACTATAAATATAATAATTTCCACAGGTATTTTTTTTCTTTAAAGTCCTCTATTTTGAGTTGTAATATGGAAAATTTTACAACTGCTAATTTTTTTAAAGGATTTAAGTTAGCCAAAATAAGCATGTATTTCAGTAAAAACTCATTTGATGATCTTGGTTGTGTTTCCTTAGAGAGATTAACAGGGAGAGAGACTATTTTTAACATATTTTAAGGAAAGAGTAAAAAAGAAAAAGTTATTTAATTTGGACTTTTTAATAGGTGAATTTGGGCTTACAGAACATGGAAGTTTTTTTCTTTATAGTTTCTTGCTTTTTATGCCACTTAATATACTGAAAACATATTGAAAAGCATCTAATTTCTAAATATTCATTGTGTTCCTTTTCTGAATTAGGCTACCTTCAAATCTTCACCTTCAAAGTTCACCTATGACTCATGATCAGATGTAGAAAATAATTATTTAAGTGACATTTTAAACCTGATTTGTTTGTAACAGGTTTGTGTTTCTACTCAGCTAACATTTATTAAGTGCCAACAGTGTGCTTGGTGTGGTGACCACAAAACTGAATAAACATGGTGCCTGTCCTTGAGGACTTGAGGTAGTGGGGTAGTCTTTTAGTAACTGATTATTCTACACAAAATGGTGAGAGCTCTGGCAAAAATATATACAAGTTGCAAGGGGAGCACAGAGTGGGTGACACTTTGCAAAGTCTGGGGAAATTGGGAAAACTTTGTGGAGGAGGTGACACCTGGGCTGAGGCTTAAATGAAGAGCAGGAAGGAGTTAGCTAGGTAACTGTGGTAGGGGAAAGAAACGTCAGAGAAACTAGCATATGTTAGAGCAGAGGCCCAAATGGTATGGTTGTATGCAGTGAACAATCAGCTACTTCCATGAGTGTGAGAGGTGAAAAGTGAACAGAGGCAGTGGAAGCAACGAGAGGTAGAAGCCATGTTGTGGAGGGCCTTCTCTGCCAGATCAGAGAACTTAGTCAAGAGATGGGGAGAGCCAGAAAGTTGCTAAGTGGGAGTGATTTAGTTGGAATAATCACTTTTGATACTAGAGCTACTTATAACGAGTAACAGTCGGTAGAATAAAGCTAACAAAAAGAACTTTTTGATAATGTCTTGCAAGAGTGCCATTTTGGCATCTTGCCTATTTGGCCAAATAGGTGCATAAGACAAACGTACCTTTGGGCTAAGCTGCATTTCATTCTGGAATCACAGGACTAGTCATGGAGTTCACATCTAGCTTCTGCTATGAATTGTTGTAGGACTTTCTGGAGTTTATGTCAGTTGTAGGAATTACACTAATTGTTTCTGGAATTTACAGCCATGTCCCCTTTATCTCACCCTAAGATATGCATCTCATTTGTCACTCCTGTCCTTCATCAGTGGGTCTTCAAAGGAGGGACTCCTAAAACTATCCTCATCTCAAGACAAGCAAAGCTCAAAGGAGGCCCTTTCTGGAATCATCTTTAGGAAAAAGTAATCTTAAGTGTAGGCTTCCCTGAAATCAGAATCCCATGCCAAGTTTTTCCAGTTGGCATAAATTTGGGGCCACTCAATGTATCTGTATTTGGCTTATTTTATGTTATTTTTAGAGTTTCATATAATTGAATGAAATCCAGTTCAGACATGAAGACTGTTGATAGTCATATATATGATTTGACCAGGATTATACTGATAATCCCTAATGGGTCATGATTTAAAAGTTGTATATCAGCAGTTTGAAAAGCATTTCCCCACTGGGAGCAGATATAATACACATGGATATAAAGGTGCTCTAATGAAAATTGTTTAGTCTACAATGTGTGGAGCCTTGTGGTGTTCAAGTAGTTTAGTAGATCCCAGACCCCAGTGAGTAGGAATGCATTCTATGTTCTCTTAACAGGTTATGCTAGAGATGAATTTGTCCACTTAATGAGCAAAAAAAATGTTTTCAGCTGAAATATTAAAATTATGATTTGAAACCTCTATTAATCAAAATAACTTCATGAGTTAAGTAAGAATAATTTGAAGTCAAATTATTTCATTTAATCTGATATTTCTGAAGCCTAGAAGCATCTGGGGAAACAAAACTAACAGCCATGAAACAGCTGGACAGCATCACAAGACAGCATAAAAGATCACATAGGACTTACACTGAAGTTCTGCAATTTAGAAGAGAAGAGAAGGCCTCCTGCAATACTTGAGACTAGAACTTGACGGTAAAGGATAGAATTGAATAGAACAGGATGGCAAGAAAAGAAAGAGTAACAACAGTATCGTTCTTTCAAATCAAGTCCATGTGCATGACTTCGGTGAAATACAAGTAGTCCTTAAAGTTACTACTGACAGCAAGGTTACAGCCAGAATAATAAAATTATGAGTTCCAAATTTAGGTTTGTAGGTTTTTTCGATGTAAGCTTTTTCCATACTATCTTAAGTTGTTAAGGCAAGATTTCTTTCCATTATATCTTTTCTGCCCAACCATGATCCAAGATTAATGCTAATAAAAGACATGCTATAAAATAAAGAGGAAGTATGTACAGCATGCAGCCACCAGGTGGTTTTTATTACCTGTAAAGAATGACTTTAGTCACATTTCAGTGCCTATTGAATTCCCAACAGGCAAACTTTGAGTTATAGTTGGTAAAATTCATCACCACCACCACCCCAACATGAGGTTCTGGGATACCCTATTTGAAAAGCTAGAAGATACTAAATTCTGAAAGAATTACTTTAACTGTGTTCCAATTTCAGGAGACACATGTATATAATTTATTTTAGTATCATTTTCCATGATTTGTCCTGAGTAAAAATCATGGGATGTAAAAACAGGTGATAATTACAGGGTAATCATTTATTACACACTGAAATGGGTGGAGTAGAGCTTGGCATTAGAACATTTAACCCAAGAGAGTCAATGCAGAGAAAATAGATCCCCAGAGCTTTTTAGGTAAAACTTTTAAATGTTCACACACTAGAACCAAAAGCACAGTGGACTGTGTTACCATTTCCTTCTCACAGTGTATGATCACCTTCTCCCTGCCTGTTTTTACATTTTAGCCAGGATTTTTACCTCTTCTGCAAAAGCTCAAAAAATAGCCACACGAAGGGACAGTAGCTATCTTGCTGAAGAACAGTTTGGCTGCATATGTGTTGTGAGATGTTTCTGTCTATAGGGAGTGAAGCCCCAAGGCTGCTCTGGGCCAGCAGGCTGTAGTTCCAAAGGTGGCACAGTGGGGACTACCCCAGCCTTGCCAACAGATGCTTGCAGCTACAATGGGCTTTGGTCATATATGTGCACAGGGAACAGGGGTGTTGGAATGGAGCCATAACTATTTAGTCAGATGAAGCAGAAGAGATGTGCTAACAGAGGCACAGTGCTGTGACAACTCCATCTCTTTCTTTGCAAGACCCCTCTCCTACCCCCTACCCCTAGAATGCAAAGAAAATAGAGATATGTTGGTGTCCACCTGAATCGGTACCCACCTAGCCCATCCCCAGTATATATTTTCCACTTATTTCCCCCATGAAACTTCAGTGTGTGGCTTGTGTTGAGCTAAAAGAAAAATAGTAAGAAGAGCCTCTCCAATCTATAGCCAACCACTTTGTGTGTAAAGACAACTATGATTATTTTTAGTTCTGTGAACAGAAGAACTGATAAAGTATATGACTTAAACAGTAAGTACCACTGCTTATGGGGACAGGGAGTGTGAGGTAAATTGA